AAAGAGTCCATACTGTGTGATTCTGTTTAGGCCAAGCAAAACTACTGTACAGAGATTGAAATAGAGCTCCAGTTGCAGGGTGTGAGGTAGAAGAGCAAAGAACGGTCTGCAGTGATGGAGCCACTGTTGTCATGGTTCTAGGAGTGCATAAAGTGAGTTCATGTATTGTATGTACAATTGGTTTAAGAAGAAAACTACAGAAAGGGGAAGGGTCTCGTGGAATTCCTTGCTAATATTCTCTGTGTTCTTGAATAAGGAACTTAATCATTCTTCATCTATTTCCTGTAGAGCAAATAGCCACATGCAAATGCTGAGTGTGGGGGTTATCCATGAACTCCTCTTTTGGCAAGAACATGTTAACCAATGTGTGCTCATATATTGGAGTTTGCTTGCATGTACCTTTGAAGGACCATTTACTGTGTTACTTCCTGTCTCCGCACATCAGTAAGACGAAGGCTGTAGAGCAGGCCAGAGGAGAGGACTGGAAGCTCAGTCTGTAGTGTTGTTTCCATAGTGTTGGTTGCTCAGCATTAATACAAAATGGGATTTATTGCTTGTGCTTAAATCTAGTGTTTTCAAAATAAATTTTGGGTTTCCATTTTAGTTTTTTTCCCTGCTTCACACTCATTCATTCATTCATTCATTCATTCATTCATTCATTCATTTTGGGGGGCATGTGGAGGTCAGAGGACAACTTGTAGGAATCAATTTTCTTCTTCCTCTTTGTAGGTGACAAGGGTTGAACTCATTTGGTCAGGCTTGGCTGCAGGCACCTTTATCAGCTGAGCCATCTCTTTGGCCCTTTATCTTACCTTTAGAAATGAACTTTGCTGATTGGAACCAGGGGTAAAGTGCTTGCTGTGTAAACATGAGGATCTGAGTGAAATCCCCAGCTCCAACATAAAAATCTGGGCATGGTAGGGTATGCTTGTAATCCCAGCACTAAGGAAGCAAAGATTGAAGATTTCTGGAGCACCATGGCCAGACTTAGCCTATTGGCAACCTGCAGACCAGTGAGAGACCCTGTCTCCTAAAACAAGTAGGCAGCTCCAAGATTGGCTTCTGGTTTTCACACATACATGTGTACACACCTGCACACACATGCACCTCCATAAACACAGACACACACAGGCACATGCACATACACAGTGGATATTGCTGATAGAACCAATTCCGTATTCCTGAATGATAACAGCTATCTGCATGTGTGTGATAGCTGTGCCTTCATAGCCATTTGTACTCTGCTTCCCATAGTCTCTGTACACTTGGTTGCCTTTTCTGTTCTCTGTTGTAATAATTGAGAGAATCTAATTCATTCTTGAATTCTCACTCTGTGTTAAGCCTTGTTCTAAGGTGTGATGATCCAGGGGCATCAACCACTCAGATGCAGTACTAACTCACAGGGAATTGCAAGTAGTAATTTCTATTCCCATCAAAAATTAAAAACCAAAGCTGGGTATGATACTTCACATATATAATCCCCGAACGCAGGAGGCAGAGGCAGTAGGATTACTATGAGTTTGAAGCCTACCCTGGCTACAGAGTGAGTTCTAGGTCAGCCTAGACTAGAGTGAGTGGCCTGCCTCAACAAAACAACAACAAATTAAAGACAAGAAAGGTACAATACTGAGAGGTATGAAAGAAGAATGAGTCATAGTGAAACTCATTCTTCTGTACAATTAATATACCTTATTAAAAAAAAAAACAAGTTAGAAAGACCCGAGTGCTATGTATTTTAGGGAATACAGAAGAACATATGTTTCTTTTTATAAATTAAATTAAAAAAAAATCTCCACCTTTTTAAGAGGCCAAGTGTGTCTGTATGAAAATTACCCTGCCTTCCTCAACTGCTTTATCTCAGAGATGGAGCCCCTTTCCCTTTGTGAAGTGTAAATGCCAATAAGCTGATAGCAGCACAGGCCACATGGATTTCCGTACTTCTGTCAGAGACTGAGACTTGGTATCCTGATCCATGTGGGAAATGGGCTGTGCTGGAGCAGTGCTGTCAGCCCTCTTCCTTCTTTGCCTATAGAGACGTGAGGGCAGTGGGGCCTGTGCTAGAGAAGTAGCTAAGGTGCTCCTGCTCCCCTCTTCCTCTTACCTAATAGTTTACATCTCCATGTGGTCCACTGTGCATTGGTCGTAGCTGACATCTTTAGGATGACAAATCTTACTAGGTTTCGATTTTGATCTCGTGGTTAAAGCCTTCTCACTCACAGATGGGCCTTTTATGGTCATAGATGCTGAGTAGTGTGGTTCTGACTATGTTGAGTGTAGTGATCGTTGCTTTGCTTTAAGCTTCATCGTAATTGTAGGTCTAGCAAATCGAACTTGCTTGCCAAGTTGTTTTCAGCTCTGGCTGGAGAGGTCATCTTTCTGCACCACTGCTCCCATCTGGTGGCTGTTATCTCGAATTGCAGCAGCATCACTTGCTTCACAAAGAAGTAGCTTGTCCCTCAGTGATGCTAGGTACCACACATTAAAATGCCTTTAAAATATGCCATATACAAAGTTTTGGGAAGGGGAACATTCATCAACTCTTCAGGCAAGAAAGGCAAGAACTGCGATGAACAGTTTATAAGCTAATGTGTATATTTGCAAGTATTTTTTTTTTCTTTTTAAACTTTATGGATCCAAGGCTGTCATTTCTGGTCTTTGGCTGTTAGTGAAATGAAGGGTTACTTATTTCCAGTGAAAGAAATACTCATTTGCTCATTTAATTCAACAGTTATATGAAGAGGTATTGTATGTTTTTTGTGAAGTGGAAGGAACCAGTTTTTGGACAGTCAGGAGGATGACACCACTCCAGGTTCTGCCCACAGCTGGCTGTGAAACTCCTAAAGCCTCTTTTAGTTTCTTTACTCATAAAACAGATTTCTTGGAATTTAATGCTTTTTATGGTGATACTGTGCCCAGGCTATAGCCAAATGAAATTATGAAGTATTCAAAATATCTGGCAAAGTAAATATCTTCTTGGTCTATATATAAAACAATCATGAATATAAATGGAGGGTATGAAATATGTGCAACTACTTTGTCCAATTCTAATAAAGTGCAAGATACATCATGGTTTCAATAATTTTTTTGGGGGGAGGGAGAAAAGTTAAATGGTGCTAAAGTATGTATATATACTACTAGACAAGATCCGATACATATTTCTTGCATTTAATTTTTGTCGCATATCTTAAAAATTATATATCCTAAAAGATGCATCTTGGAATTTGGGAATTGTAGGTTGGGTATGATGGTACACATTTAATGATCCTGGTACTTACCAGGGAGGAAACAGGAGAATCAGTTCAAGGCCAGCAAGGCCACATGAGACCCTGTCTCAGAAAACAAAAGTAATTTAGGAAGAAATGGCGATGGAGTGGAAGAGAGAGAAGACTTAAATTTTTGATGCTGGGTGTTCTTTTTTAAAAAGGAAGTACTCAGTCTAGTGTGGTGGTGCATGCCTTTAATCCCAGCAACTTGGAAAGCAGAAGCAAGTGCATCTCTGTGAGTTTGAGGCTAGTCTGGTCTATAAATCAAGTTCCAGGACAGCCAGGACTACACAGAGAAACCTTGTCTTGAAAAGCAAACAAACAAAAAGCAAGTTCTAAAGAAAAATCTACATTTAAAATTGATAATGAAATAGTTTTATGTATTGCAAGAAAATAAAAACCATGTTTTGGATAAAAATAATAGTGGTTGGTATTGTAGATTCCATGGGAAGTTTCAATGTTTATCTAATATTGAAGAATGTAGTGACAGTCAATAGAGAGACCTGCAATCTCTGATAAATCATGATCACAAGGTAGGTTTGGAAACGTTTGAGTCTAATAGCATATTTTTATAGAATGATGCATGTATTTTGTGAAAATAAGGAACAATAAGGCTTTAGTGGTTGCAGGGAATAGATTCCTACCCAGGTTAGCTTGAATAGTTACTGTAAAGCTAGTAAGTGCTAAGAACATCAGCAGACAGGCACTGAAGTGTCACCGAGCCTCAGGGAAGGGTACCAGTGAATCAATCTTGAGTCCTGATTCTCAGAGGCCTAAGATCTCTCTATTGGCTGCTTTTTGGTTTGGTTTCTATCAACTTTACAAATGGCTGCTAACTCAGTACTATATTACAACCTCAACTCATACTGATCACTTCCTCTGTGCTCACTTCTATCCAATATGTGCCATCTCTGTGCAAAGAATAGCTTAGTGGTGTTTTCACAACACAGGATTGATGAGCTAAGCGATAAAGGTATACAAGGCAGGTGGTTGGGCTTTGTGTTCCATGGAACTGCTGTTTCTTCCAAGACTTTGACCTGGGACTGCTTTGCCACTCTTGTCTATCTGACCCTCAAGGCAGGCAGTGCTTTGGGAGTTAGGTGGGAGTTAGGAGTTCTAAGATTATGTGGTACTCGAAAAATGAACTAATTTAGCACATTTGAGAATACCAGTTAAAATTACCTAAATGTCTGTTAATGAATTGTGAGCTGTCTAAAGGAAAGTAGAGTGCTGATCAGTGAGTGAGTTCTGATGTCCCACTATAGAGCATCTCACTCACACTGGGACTTATATCTCAACAGCACATGTAATGACAGGTACAGGTGTGTTCAGGGTTTCCTATAAACACTTGAACCGGAGTGAGGAGGGAAAGGAAGGAAGGAAAAGGAGATTCCTGAAATAAAGTGACAACTATTTATGTTAACAAGCACTAAAAGCACTAAATTTTCTAGCCTCTCTAGTAAGAAAGAAAGTACTGGGCTTAATTAAAAAAAAAAAAAAGTCTAGTAATTTCTTTGGAAGACAGCTGCTGTTTGTGCTTGATTCTGGGTTAGATGTGCAGGACTTGTCTGACTCTGGCTGTAAGTTCCAAGAGTGTACGAGTGCTCTTTAGGCCACTCTGCTTTGAAGACTGGCTGATAGTGGTATCAGTTCCATGTGAGGTAACAGCAGCAGCCTGAGTTCCTGACCGACTTTGCAAATTACTCAAAAGAGTTTCTCTGTGTGTTCTTCTCACAGGTGGATTTGCTCTTGTCTTTCTGGTGAGAACAAGCAATGGGGTGAAATGTGCCTTGAAACGTATGTTTGTCAACAATGAGCATGACCTCCAGGTGTGCAAGAGGGAAATTCAGATCATGGTAAGAGTTTGTGGATTATGACTGCTTCTTCTTCTT